TTTCTTTTGTTTTGTTTTTTTTGTGGGTCCGGTAGTGGGGCCTGGGTGCTGTCCTTCAGCTCTTCAGCTCAAAGCTAGCGCTCTACCACTTGAGCCACAGCACCACTTCCGGCTTTTTTTCTTATGTGGTGATGAGGAATCGAACCCAGGGCCTCGAGCATGCAAGGCAAGTGCTCTACCACTGAGCCACCTTCCCAGCCCCTCCTAATACTTTTAAAGTCATATTCTGGGTCTGAATTTCGGCAGTCTATGTGTTAGCTGTAGGAAACGAAACTAGCTTCTCCTTTGAAGTTTCCAATGATGATTTCTACATGTTGGGTCATGGCTTAAGTTTGTTTCAGTAATGAATATGAAGCCCATTATTTTTTCTCTACAAGGTCCAGATGCCCTCAGAATCAGCCAACCTACTATAACCCTTAAAGTTGCCATGTCCTCGTGCTAATCAAGTACTCTCACCTCTCTTTCCACCTTTACCACATCCTAACTTACCAACTTAGCTATAAACTGATAATTCAGTATGCAAGATGCTTTCCAAAAGGCTCTGTGGAACTATTGTATTATGATGCAAACCTAATATATCTGATTGCTCCTTTTCTTCTGTTGACTAAAGGCCAGGCCTATAATAAATTAATTATCTTACACTTACAGGTTACAGATGTGTCAGCAACCAAGCAAGTGCCATTTTATTCTTCAGAAGTAACAAGGAAATATCATAGAGTTGAAGGGTATCATTAGCAATTGAATGTTTGAGTCACAGAAAGACAGAGACAGAGAGAGAGAAACAGAGACAGAGAGAGACAGAGAGACAGAGACAGAGAGACAGAGAAACAGAGACAGAGACAGAGAGATCCCCATGTTGAAGCCCTAACCCCCAATTCAACTTTATTGGGAGACATTACTAAAATAGTTGGGGAGAAGATGAAGTTATATAGTAGAAATTCATGATGAAATAACTGTCCTTAAAGTAGAAACCCCAAAGTGTGATATGATGTGGTGTCTCGTCTGCGTGTGTGTGTGTGTGTGTGTGTGTGTGTGTGTGTGCATTTGTGCATTCCTCCTTCTGAGGACACAGTAGAAAGGTGACCTTTGCAAGACAGAGTCCTCACCAGATCCCAACTATTTGGAGGCCCTTACACTTAGGATTTCCATCCTCCAGAACCAGTTATTTATGTCATTGAGTCTACAGTATTCTATTACAACAGCTGAGATAATATAAATGGATATAATGCCTACAGAGACATGAGGCACAATGATGTTAGGATGAATGGGAAACAATGTAAGACACAAGGAACAGAGGCTGCAGCAGGCCCTGGAGTCCTGGGCAGACATAGCAACAGCAAGAGGAACCACTTGACTCTACAACCCCAAGAGTAGTACAAGTAGGTGGTCCTAGGGTCCTCTGACTGGCCAGACAGCCCTCATAGCTAGAGGTGTATGGATCCAAGTTAATACAACCTAAATTTTTACAGTGAAGCAAAAGGTAAAATGTCTGAGAGAGATAGTGGCATAAAGCAAGAAAGTATGGTGTCTTAGGGAAAAGTAAAGAAAGTCTCACAGGGTGAAGCTACTGACCAATTCTGTCAAATGCTGAAGCCAAGACAATGAATGGAACTGGGAGTGTAGAATTCCTTAAAATATTGACAAAATCCTTCTTAATTATGTTGAAGAACCAAAAGTCAGATTGGTATGAACACAGAAAATAACAACATAATATATACATATATATATATATCATTTTATTGAGTAAAATTCTTATGAGTTTTAAATCAGCAGAAACATAGGATTCTTGCAAAAAGATCAAAACTGAAAAATTAATTGAGATTTCTACCTTTGAGTTAATCTGTATACCAACTTTCTCTGTTAGGGACTAAAAATTTTACTAGTACTAATCATAGAGGAATGAATTTGATTTTATTATATGTTTCTTATTACATTTGGCCTTCGAGATCCCTTAAGATTCTTATTCTTCCATGAATGGCTGCAGGATCCAAACAGTAAGATAGAGAAATCTGTTTCTTCCTCATCTCAGCTATAATAAACTACGCCATCTGGAGGTACCATCCTGCATGTGTATGAGTTTGTGACACTGAAGATGGACAAGGATGACTAGCATGGTGGCCTCTATTTAAAATCAAAGACTAAAGTGAACCTTATAAACCTACCCAGCTGCCTGGGGTATGAGTGTTCAATTAGATTAATAAGGCTCACATCTTCTCCAGAGGATCCAAGAGGATGAGATAGATTAAAATCAAAGTAAGATATTGATAAAAGAAACTACCGTAGGAAATCAACTACCAAAAAAAGGCATCTTAAAAAATTAAAACCAAGGCGAGGAAGGTGGCTCAGTGGTAGAGTGCTCAGCACCACATAAGCAGAAAAAGCCAGAAGTGGTGCTATGGCTCAAGTGGTAGAACGCTATCCTTGAGCTGAAGAGCTGAGGGACAGCACCCAGGCCCAGAGTTCAGGCCCCATGACCAACAAAAAAAAGAAAGAAAGAAAGAAAGAAGGGTAGAAAGAAAGAAAAGAAAAAAATAAATGAAAATAAAACCAGGAGTCTTTAATATCCATTTTCTGCATAAGAAACAGGAAATGTTTATTACTCTTCGCAATTTTTCTCTATTTTAACCATGTTAGTACTAGAATAAATCCTTGCTAAAAGTGTCATATTTCAGAGGTCCAAACTGAGGTCTATATCTTTACAAAAAGAAAAAATGCTTTCTGAAAAGACAAAATCTTGGTATCTAGCGCTAAATGTGGACTTCTGCCTCTTGTGAGCCTTATTGCTGGATCAAGCTTGTTGTTTACAGGGAAATGGATGGACCTCAGAAAAATCACATGGAGTGAAGTAAGCCAGGCTCAGAGAGACAAAGGGTACACGTTTTCTCTCACATGTAAATGTTAGAGCTAAAATACAAACAACTAGGTAAACACACACAGAGCCATAAGCATATACACATGATTAAACTGACTAAAGTACATACATGCAGTAGTGAGATTCCATGGTCTAATCCCTTAAGCTGAAACATGTCTTGACTTGGAGGTGGGGGTGAGCAAAAATTAAAAGGAAGAAGGAAGACAAATGGGGAAAGGGATAGATAGACAGATAGACAGACAGATAGATAGATAGATAGATAGACAGACAGACAGACAGACAGACAGAGTTGTAATACTCCATGCACACATGGAACCTGAACTAGATATGGAGAACCTGAACTGATATGGAGACACAATAGGTGAGGGGAAGGGAATGATAAAGGGAAGGAGTGATTCTAATCTCTAATCAAGATGCATTGTATATATAAAACAGTTAAATGGAAACTCCTTTGCTCAGCTATTTGAAGATAACGCAAAGCAAAAATTAATCAAAAGGAATATGGAATCTAATCAGCCAGAATTTTAATTTCAAATATAATTGATCACAAGAAAAAAATCTAACCTGTCAGGAAACTGTCATTCAGCTGTGTTTTAAGTTTATATACATCAATGGTATCTAGAATAAAGTTGAGGGGAAAAAAATGTTGCTTAGTGATAAATCATAGTCTACCAAGAAGATAGTATACTGTAACAAATACTTTACAAATGCCTATACATAAAGATATAGAATTATAAAAAGGAATATAAACATGAGTTCGCATAAAGATTCTTCTATATGCTTTGATAAAGTAGGAGCGTATTTTTCAGAAAGGCATTTCAGAAAGAGTGTGTATAGTGGGGAGAAAGCAAGCCCACAGGAATTTTCTTCACTATAAAAACAAGGCAAGAGACAAACCAGCTTCCTATTCTCTGCAATAATTAGCTATCATTTGTGTAAATACTTCTAAACTGTAGGTTTGAATTCAAATGAATTTTATTGTGAAGTTCTGTCTGGAGTTGAGATACTTACTCGTAGGGTTGTGTTTAATGCCAGGAGAGTTCTCTTGGGGTTCCCTAGAATGTTGATGAAGAATAATTAAATTAGGGTATCTGATCTATGTATGAGGAGGTTGTTGCCTGAGAAGTATGCAAGGTGACTGTATCAAATGTTTGAGACTCTGGGGACATCTCAGATTAACAGTTATATCATTATTATATTTTCTTGTAGTTCTTGATATGCTACATATATGGTCCTATTTCATCTTCCCAGCTTTGTCAGGCATAGGCATTTAAAACAGATAAAATTATGTCTTTCCACCCCAAGGATACTGTATGAAAATTATACGATGTTAATAATGATATGAATTACAACATGTGTTCCTATCTATTGAACTCAATGAAAAATTAATCAGTTGTGTTACCATTTGCCAAGGATTCAGCCCTTCAATTAAGTTCTTTGAACACAGAAAAGGCTTACAACAATCTAAGCCAGGTTAAGCTCTAGAATTGAAAAAAAGGAAGTATTAATTGAGTAGCCACACCAAAAATGGGTGGATTCTCTGCTGTTTAGTGTATATTGTGTACATTATAAAACTAAACTTTCCCAACACCTCTGTGAGGCAATCATTTCCAATTATGATAAGGAAATGGCCATTCAGAGAGTTGGGTCAGAATGAGTTTTTTGGGTTTTTTATTGTGAAAATACTGTACAGAGGGGGTTACAATTACATGGGCAAGATAATGAGTACATTTCTTATCAAGCATTGTAGGCTCCTCCTTTGTTTCCCCTTCCCATCCCTTCCCATACTCCCCGGCCCCCCCCACTCAATCCTCCCTGCCCCCCCCCACCAAAATTGTAAATCGACATAACGACTTGTACATCTCGTTGCAGAATGAGTTTTTTAAACTTGGATGTCTACATGGGTAGGTAGCACTCAAGTTGGCAGAAAGATTAAGAATGGAAGCTTCAGGTATATGCAGATTACTTTTACTGATACTAAAACCTAAGAGCCACTGTATATTGCATCCTAATCATCTTTATCCGGGTAAACTAATAGCAAAGTTTTTAAGAGACTCTCAGAACTCCCGAGTGTCCAGCTCCACAGTAGTTACTTGGCCTGATAAGTAAAGGCAGGCATTATGGGGTTCTAAGAAGCATCAACCCTCTTGTGCTGGAAGCGTTTTAGGAGGCCCTGGCGGATCTGCTTAGACTTGACGCAGTACACAATCGGGTTCATGAAGGGTGGGACCAAGAAGTGCAGGTTGGCCATGAGCACAGCCAGAGCGGGGTAGTTGTGTTTCTCCACTCGATGCAACACAGATAGCCCCAGTTTAGGCAAATAAAAAATGAGAACAATGCAGAGGTGTGAGACACACGTGTTGAGTGCCTTGAGCTGTTCCCCAGGAGAGGCAATGCCCATCACAGTCCGTAGAATAAGAGCATAGGAGAGGATGATGAGGGAGGAGTCGAGGCCTAGTGAGAGGAGAATGGAGACCAGGCCAACCAAGCTGTTGGTCCGGGTGTCTGAGCAGGCCAGTCCCACGAGGTCACAATGCAGGCAGTAGCAGTGAGAGAGTGCACTGATCTGGGGAAAGAGCAGGCGCCGTAGGAGGATGGGTCCAGGGAGGTTGAGTAGGACAGCTCGTACCAGAATGGCAACTCCCACTTTTGCCACTGCTGAGTGGGGAAGGATTGTGGCATAATGCAGGGGGTCCCGGATGGCAATAAAGCGATCAAAGGCCATGGCCAGCAGCACACCCGATTCCACGTAGGTGAAGGCGTGGATGAAAAACATCTGTGCTGCACAGAGATCAAAAGGTAATTCTCGAGCACCCAGCCAGAAGAGTCTCACCATGGTTGGGAAGGTGGAGGCACAGAGGCCCAGATCAGAGGCTGCCAACATGGACAGGAATTGGTACATGGGTTCGTGTAAGGCGGGTTCTGTGCGTATCAGGAAGAGGATGATACTATTACCCAGGATGGAAACCACACAGATGAGGTTGATGGGAATGGAAACCCAATGCTGAGAGGCTTCCAAGCCTGGGAAGCCAGTGAGAAGGAACGTAGAGTGACCAGAAGTGCTGGTGTTGCAGGAGAACATAGTGATTCCAGGAGGAAGTCGTCCACCCTAGGAGTGAGAGGCATCTGTTCATTTGGTCATCACTTATGAAATCCTTCCTAAGTGTGGGCTGGAAAACAAACTGCCTTATAACCTATTCCATCCATGGCACCCTACCCTCCTTAGAAACTCCTGGCTATCATTTTATTTCCTGGTTAGTTTGATTTTCTTTTTCTCTGAATCTAGTAGAACTGGATATGTTTTCTGAGTTGATCTGTACTTACTGTTTTAGGCTATTTTTTTATTGTAAAGGTGATATGCAGAGGGGTTACAGTTACATAAGTAATGAGTACATTTCTTTTTGAACACTGTCACCTCTTCCCCCATTTTTCTCCCATTTTTTGCCCTCCCGACCCCATCCCACACAAGATGTATAATTCATTTTCAACATAATGTCTAGTGAGTATCTCTGCTGAATTTGTTCAACATAAGTCTCATTTCTATGCTTCCTCTTGTCCTCCCCAAAACAGATAAACTTATATATAAAACAAAAAGTACAGAAATCAAAAATAGCAACAAAAAAAGAGGAGAAAAAAAATAAAATAAACTCTTGTTTCCATTTCTTGGAGTTCATTTCAATCAACATCATTTTATATGATTATATCATACCTTACCTCCAGCTCATTGGCTACTTAAGGCTTGTACATTTCATTCTGACCCTGGCTTCACAACAGGCCTGTGTCTGTAGGCTCAATTAGAAGGCAATTTCCTCTTAAATATCTCTTTTCTAGAAGTGTGTGTGTGTGTGTGTGTGTGTGTGTGTGTGTGTGTGCCAGTACTGGGGCTTGAACTCAAGGCCTGGGCGTTGTACCTACGCTTCTTTGGCACAAGGCTACAGCTCTATCACTTGAACCACAGCATGCCACTTCTGGCCTTTTCTGAGTAGTTTATTTAGAGATAAGAGTCTTAGGGACTTTCCTGACTGTGCTGGCTTCAAAACACGATCTTCAGATCTCAGCCTCCTGAGTAGTTAGGATTACAGGAATGAGCCACCAACGCCAGGCTTTTTTCATCGTTCTTACTACAAAAGCTGGAATAAGGCTAATTATTTCATTGCAGTTACAAGTAGAAATAGCTTTTCAGGGGCATCACCTAAAGAGAAAAGCAAAGCAGCAGGAATTTCTAGAAGCTCAGATTTAATATGTCACCCAAAGGAGCCCAAAGTATAATGTATGGACTCATCTATTTCCATAATTTCCCACAACACTTTTAGGGTTTCTCTCCTCAGAACAGAACTGAATCTCCATTAGTCCACTACGCATTTCACACTGTAAGTTTATATTCGTTTGAATATCCTGAAAACCACAAACTGATTCCTCTCCTCTCTCTCCAAAGTTCACTACTCAGTAACTGTTGATATGCCTTCCTTTCTTTCCTTTCAGATTCCAAGGATATTAACATAGACAAACTGTCCTACTTTCTTCATTCTTTCTGAATTCAGATTTATCGGATAAATTTCCATGGAATTTATTCTCAGAATAGTTATGAGAAGACTCACATGAACATAGACATTATCACATGAATAGAGCAAAACAAATGGCAGTGATCACATTAGTCTTAGGAGCATGATTCTCATCCTTACCGATCACAATGGTTCCATGAAAACTATGGGATCACTTCTAAGCAAAATCTTCATACTGAGTTTAAAAGTGCAAAGATCTTGTCCATACTGTATCTCTTGACTTTTCAATCACTTTTCTCCTGAGTATTATAAACTCCACTCATAAGACATGTTTCTCTCAACAAATTCAAGACATTTGATCCTTTAAAAATTAGCAAAATAGGGACTGGGAAGGTGGCTTAGTGGTAGAGTGCTTGCCTAGCAGGCATGAAGCCCAGGGTTCGATTCCTCAGTACCATATAAACAGAAAAGGCTGGAAGTGGCACAGTGGCTCAAGTGGTAGAGTGCTTGAGCCCAGAGAGGATCAGGGACAGAGCCTAGGCCCTGAGTTCAAGCCCCAAGACCAGCCAAAAATAGCAAAATATAATATATACATTGCAAAGTCCACCAAAGTATAAATCTTGATGAAATTCAACCAAGTGCAAATTATGGGATGAATTTCCAGAGCTAGTAACAGAAGACTGACAGCCATCCAAAACTCCTTGTGACTCCTTCCAGTCACTCTGACTTCTCATGGATAACCATTATCCTGACCCCCAATGCCACAGAGTAAGCAGTCTCTAAACTTTATGCAGTTGTAGCCATATGATATTCACTTGTTTTGTATCATTCTCTCAAATTAATGTCTATGTGACATCCATATTGTCTCATGTAGCAGTAACTCGTTCTCATTAATGCATATTTTTCTATTATGAGATATGCTATAATATATCCATCCTATTGTTAGTAGGTATTTGAATAATTTCAACTTCAGAGCTAATATGAGTAATGCTGCCATGAATGTTGTTAATGTATCTTATGTTCATATGTGTGGATATATATACCTGTTGGGTATATACCTAGGAGTAGAATTGCTCTAGTAGATTCTTCCAAACAGCTTTCAAAAATGATGTATACCTACATCAACACTGTCAGAGAGACAACTGTTCACATCCTCATCCATACTTGTGTTGTTTATTGGCTCTTGTAATTACAGCTATGGTGGTATTGCTTTATCATTTTAAGGCACATTCCTTGTGTTATGTACAGAGTGAGTGCCTTTTCGGATACTTACTGGCTATTTGAACATTTCCTTTTGTAAAGTCCTTTTTTAGTCTTCTACACATTTTCTACTGTGTTGTTTTCCTTTTTTCATATTGCTCAGGATGAGTTGTTTAAATATTCTAAATAACCACCATGCCTTTTTCCATTAGGTGATTGAGCCATTCTCTAACTGTAATTCTTCTGCGTGTTCTGTAACCTTTATAAGTTTTTGTTTCTTGAGTCTGTTTTCCTATTAGTAACATCTTTGTGCATGAAACAGCTTAATCTGTAACAGAAAACCTCATACACAGTGAAAACTTTACATTGGTAGCTCGCTTCCTCATTTAATAATGGTCTAAGGCTCTTTGCAGGGCATGATGTGAAAAACCAGAAAAAAAAAGATCCCTAGGATAATATCAAAATTCCAATGCTTCATCCTTTGCTGTGTTCTTCAACTATATTTTTTTGGTATAGTGTTGGGACACAACTGGCTGACAGAAAGTTCATAATGTAAGTCATCTCACCTGCCTGAATCCTCCAAATGGTCTCCCCAAACTGAGTTCACATCTGCATTGCTCTGCTTATGCCTCCTGTCACATGAATCATTCCACACATGCATACATTCTGAGCATCTATCAAGTCCATCTATCAAAGGCCATACTGTGCAACAGAAAAGGCACTCTACTCACGTCAGACTCCATAATGAGCCCTCTAAGACTCGACTTCTGCAGGAGGGGTAGTTCTCAACTGGTGATATCACAGTGGATGGCCATTTCCAAATGCCAGAAACTGTGCTGCCAATTCTATCCACCTCATTGGTAGAAGTCAAACAATAGACATTACAACAAAGGGAGGTAGCAATGAATGTGATGGTACACTCACAGAGGTCAGGGGAGGAGCCTCACATGAGAACAGGAGAAACACTTGAGTCTGGAAACGGACTGTTTGTCTTCCTTAGCATTGCACATCTAGTACCAACCACAGCACCTGCCAGTGTTGTATAGATTTGACCTACCTTTTATCCACAGCAGCCTAAAGTGATAACCACATGTCCACAATCCCAACTAAAGAAAAGGCAGAGAGCTGCCCTCTCAGGATCTGAAATAATAAGAATAATCTCTTTCAGGGGCTGGGAAGGTAGCTCAGTGGTAGAGCGCTTGTCTTGCATGCCTGAGGCTCTGGGTTCGATTCCTCAGCACCACATAAGCAAAAAGAAAAAAGCCGGAAGTGGCGCTGTGGCTCAAGTGGTAGAGCGCTAGCCTTGAGCTGAAGAGCTGAGGGATAGTGCCCAGGCCCAGAGTTCAGGCCCCACGACCAGACCCAAAAAAAAAAAAAAAAGAATAATCTCTTTCATTGTGGTTCCTAAAGATTCTTACTGTGGTAGAGTTAAGGCTACCATGATCTGCCCGATTTCTTTTCTTTTTCATCATGCTTTTTGCTTTCTGATCATCTTTTTGTGTCTGCCACATGAGCCACAGCTCCAATTCTGACTTTTTGGTGATTAATTGTAGATAAAATCTCACAGACTTTCCTGCCCGGGCTGACTTCAAACCATGATCCTCAAATCTCAGCCTCTTGAGTAGCTAGGATTACAGTGGTCTGAGCCACAGGCTCCAGACTCTTATAAATCTTTAATGTTTTAGTTTATTAAATAACAGTAAGAATCAGTAAGCAACATGCTTACTCACACGTGTACTTTAATCATATTACTTTACCTAATCCCTTAATCTTGTAGGTTATGTTTTTACTTTCTGTTAAGGAAATTAGAGTAAGAGAGGTTTGATGTCTTTCCCAAAGTTGTGAAGCTAGGTGGAAGAGTCAGGATTTAAATCCAAGTTAGTTAAATGCCAAAGCTATTCACTTAATGGCTTCACATTAGTAAAGAATGACTCTTAATTCTTTTTTGCCAGTCTTAGGGCTTGAACTCTGGGTCTAGGTACTGTCCCTGAACTTCTTTTGCTCAAGGCTAGCACTCTACTACTTGAGCCACAACCACTTCTGGCTTTTTTGAGTAGTTTATTAGAAATAAGAGTCTCACAAACTTTCCTACCCATGATTAAACCATAATCCTCAGATTTCAACCTCCTGAGAAGATGGAGACAGGAACAAAGTCAGCCCCTAAAATGAACAGTCTCCAGTCCAATCCAGACAAAAACAAAAATCAAAACAAAGCAAAAACTTAACTCCTATCACCACCAACTTCTTTCCCACCTTCCCACGTATATTGTGGCTCATTCTTGGTAGACAATGTAGAAACTATTGTCCCACCCAACAGGATCCAAGCCCTAAGAATGAGCAATACCTGATACAAAGGAGACCACATCCTCCTCCTCCTGCTCCAATGTTGTGAGATAACATAG